AGAAAAAGAGTGAGAGATAAAAGAAAATAAGAAAAAAGGGACAGAGANTGCTGCATTTAACCACTGCGCCACCTCGGCTCTATGTATGGATGGATCAATGAATGTATAAATGTATAGATGGATTGGATGGATGGATAAATAGAATGGTAGATGATAGATACATAGATAGATGATAGATAAATAGATAGATATAGACAGAGAGGCAGACCGAGGACCGACAGATGTAGATGACAGATATAAAGCGCCGTGAATATGACCTTTTGCACACAAAATGTTGGAATTATTGTAATTTGGAGACAATGATCCAGCTTAATTGCTTCCTTCAGTGCTTGGACTCGGTAACTGGTGGAAGCCTGCAGAAGGCCTCTTGAGTTGATTCTGCTTCCGATAAGAAATATCGGATTCTCTCTACTCTTGATTGTTGCAGTGGTTCCAGCAGCCAGGAAATAAAATCACGGTGTCAAGGTCTTGGTTGCAGTAGCCAGTGTGTAATCTATGATAAGTGACTAATCTGTTATGGAACAGCTGTTTCCTTCAAGATCTCTAGTATCAAATGTTTAGATGTATCCCCACCTCAATCTCCACCATGCTATTCTCCCCTTGCGTTCTCTCCCCCCCCCACCCCGGCCGCTTCTCCTTTTACCTTGTAAATCCCAAGGCTTTTACTGTTTTCCTTGTAAAACTATTCTCAGGGAATGTTTCCTAATCATCTGATCTTTGAATCCCCGTGACCACAGGATGAAAAGATAGAAATTACTCAGACGGGGAATGAGAATAAGCCGTTTTCACTGGATATTCATGTTTCTTTTCTCAGGACAAACTTCCTGGGACTCAGTAGGGTCAACATGGGAAGTGGTTATCGGGAGCACTTAAAAGTTTTGTATCCCATTTGAAAGAAATATCAAAAGTTAATACGTTGTAAAAGAAAACTGGTTGTATTTCTGGAAATCCTGGCAGTCCTTGACTTATGACCATTGGTTTAGTGACTGTTGGTACAAGTTGACAGGACAAGGTGCCAGGCACAGAAGTCCTCTCCAGAGCGGGCCTGCTGATGGAAGCCCAGACTCGCTGGGCAGGCCACGTTGCAAGGATGCCAGGCCATTGCATTCCCAAACAGCTCCTCTAGGGTGAGCTGTCTCAAGGAAAGCAATCGCACGGCGGACAAAGGAAGTGATGCAAAGACACGTTGAAAGCCTCCTTCAAGTCCCTGGGTATTGACACCACCTCCTGGGAAACCCTGGCACAAGATCGATCGATATGGCGCACGCTGATTTGAGTATTTGAGTATTTGAGTATTTGAAAATTTATTTATAGGCTGCCCTTTTCCCTGAGGGGACTCAGGGCGGCTCACAACTCATGAGGAGGGGGATACAAACAATAGCACATAAAAGCAATACATAATTAAAAGTAAAACACAACATTCATACCATTCGGGTGGGGATGAGTTACATTCTTTAACCCCAGGCCTGACGGGATAGCCAGGTTTTAAGGGCTGTGCGGAAGGTCTGGAGGGTGGTGAGGGTACGAATCTCCACGGGGAGATCGTTCCAAAGGGTCGGAGCTACTACCGAGAAGGCTCTCCTCCGCGTAGTTGCCAGTCGACACTGACTGGCAGATGGAACTCGGAGGAGGCCTAATCTATGTGATCTAATGGGTCGCGAGGAGGTAATTGGCAGAAGGCGGTCTCTCAAGTATCCAGATCCACTACCATGATCCACCAGGGCTGCCAGACATCTGAGGACAGAAGGACAACCGTAACACAAGAGAAGCGAGCACTCCGCAAAGCCAGAGCTGCAAATGCGGCAACAATGGTGCCCACACATGTCTACCCGACATGTGGCAGAACATTTTGTGCCCGTATAGGCCTTACCAACCATCTGTGGACACACCATGGACAGCCCCCAACCTGTTAGATGTCAAGGTCCTCTTCGAACACGACGGACGAACTTCACAATGGCACTGAAAATGTGACTTATGACCAGTTTCCACACTTATGATCGCTAGAGCATCCCTGTGGTCATGTGATCAAAATTTGGACACTCAGAACTGGCATGTATTTATGACAGTTTCGCCATCCCAATGGCTTATACTATCGATTTTTCAGAACTGGCTGTTATGAGGAATCATAGAGTTGGGTGTTAGCCTAGATCGCCCTCTCCCTCTCTGTGGAAAATCTAATTTAACCGAGGAAATGTAAAGGCACATAGAGGCAGACTTTTGGCCACCATTGATTCATGAGGGTTTTCCTTGTTCAGTTAACCCTCCCCCCCGGGGGGCGATGCTCACCTCTTTTTCTTAGCTGCGGGAGCCAGTGTTGTCTGAAGACATCTCTATGGTCTTATGGCCAACATGACTGTACATCAAGGAGCATGGAACTTATACCTCCTTAGCAGGGGTGGGTTCCTGCCAGTTCTAACCTCTTCTATAGAAGAGGTTCCACAAATCTACAGTGCTGTTTAGAACCGGTTCCAGCTCCCTCCCCCTGCCCATCCGCACATCATCAAGATGAAGAGCGAGAGGAGGAATTCTGGGAGTTGAAGTCCACAAGTCTTAAAGCTGTCAAGTTTGAACAGCCCTGGGGTATTTTTCCTAAAGGGTTAGGGGTGCAAGGGTCTTGTAACTTGACAGCTTTAAGACTTTCACATTTCAATGCCAGAGTTCCTGAGCCCACATGACTGGAGGAGGAATTCTGGGAGCTGAAGTCCACAAGTCTTAAAGCTGTCATGTTTGAACACCCCTGAGGTTTTTTTCTAAAGGGTTAAGGGAGCAAGGGTCTTGTAACTTGACAGCTTTAAGACTTTCGCGCTTCAAATGCCAGAGTTCCTGAGCCAACATTTTGGTTGCTAAGCAAGAGCTTTGTTAAGTGAGGTTCACCACATATTACAAGTTGGCCACACCCACCCAGTCACATGGCTGGCAGGCCACTCCCACCTGGTTACATGGCCAGCAAGCCACTCCCACAAAGCAGGCCACACCTACAGAAGAGGTTCTAAAAATTTTTGAAACCCACCACTGCTCCTTAGGGTCATGTGATCACTATCTGCAACATTGGCAGGCAGCTTCTGAAAAGCAAAGTCCATGGGGGAAGCCACATTCACTTAACGACTTCATGTTTCACCTAACAAGGGTGTCAAAAAAGCCATTCAATGAGGCACACTTAAAAACTGTCTTGCTTAGCAACGGAAACATTAGGTTCAATGGTGGCCGAAAGTCTGCCTCTATGTGCCTTTACGTTTCCTCAGTTAAATTAGATTTTTCCACAGAGAGGGAGTGGGCGATCTAGGCTAACACCCAACTCTATGATTCCTCCTAATAGCCAGTTCTGAAAAATCAATAGTGTAAGCCGTAGGCATGGTTACATCCCAATTACCAATCCCTTGTCATAATGTTTCCTGATGAGCTCACTCGGAAAGCAAAACAGATGGGGAGATGAATTTGGGTTGTCAACTATCCGAGAGAAGCCAAGGGAATCTCTTCGCCCTCCTCTTCGGAGTTGCTGGGAAAAAGACAAGGTCAGCTGGTGCGAAGCCATGAATGGTTAATGGAGCATCTGGTGCTCCTGTTGCTGACGGCTATATCCACAGCCGGTACACCAACGCCGTATCAATAATTTAATCCTCATTCATACGAGACAGTCTGGCACCATTCCTATATGGGTCACAGCTGCTTGGCTACTTAAGAAATCCAGGTTTTATGATACTGAGGTCTGGATGTTGTTCTATCGGATGCTGTAACTGCGACTCTATTAGTTTTGAACACTGCACTAACAAAATGAAATTCAATGGTGAAAAGAGTAAGCTTCTACATTTAGGCAAGAAAAACGAAATGCACAGGTACAGTATAGGTTGTACAATCCTCAATAGTAGTAACTGTGAAAGGGATCTTGGAGTCCTAATGGACAACCATTTAAATATGAGCCAGCAGTGTGCAGCAGCTGCCAAAAAAGCCAANAGCAGTTAGACTTATATACCGCTTCATAGGGCTTTCAGTCCTCTCTAAGCGGTTTACAGAGTCAGCATATCGCCCCCCACAGTCTGGGTCCTCATTTCACCCACCTCGGAAGGATGGAAGGCTGAGTCAACCTTGAGCCGGTGAGATTTGAACTGCAGATAACAGTCAGCTGAAGTGGCCTGCAGTATTGCACCCTAACCACTGCGCCACCTCGGGTCCAGAGACGAGAAGAGAAGCCCCTCCCACAAACAGGTCTCCACGCTTTGCTTTTCGAAGAACCAGTCCAGCTTCCTAACTGGGATTCCCAGGTTTCTCAGATATGAGAGGGTGGTGGGCGCCTAGACCCTCTGAAAACCTTCCGTGCTAGAAGTCTCGGGTGCACCCAAGGCGGAAGGCTTCAGCCTGGGACCTCTTGGAGGTCCCTTCCCGTGGTCCATCTCTGAGACTGGCCAGCCACTTGTGCCAGAAGCTGGCACAAGAGCTCTATGAGGAGCCTACCTCCTCCCGGCCACTGGGCGTGGCTCTTTCCCAGCCAAGTGCCCAGGCCTCGTGGGCTCTCCCCCGCGTCTTTTGGCCAGCACAACTGGCTCTTCTTCAATAGGGAGCCCCTGCCCTTTCTCTGCAGACCGTGTGACCAGCAGGGAAGGGCTGCCCATCCCTCCCTCCCTCTCTCTCTCTGGTTGCGCCTCTGCCACGGTTTGGTCTCGGGGCACCAACTCTCAAGCCACTCTTTGTGGGAGCTGATCCTGCAGGAGAGGATCCTCCGGCTGCTGTCTCATTTGGTGAGTGGGGGGGGGGACCCTTCTCCCCACCTGCATGAGGGGACTGCAGCAACCCCCCCCTCTACTGGAGAGCGAGAGCTGATGGAAATCATTTGCTGTTGCTTGGATGTTTTGGCTGCCAGCTGCTCCCTGTGGTGGTGGCTGGCAGGTGACCCTTCCCCGCCTTGTCTCTTACCCTTCCAGGTGGAGGATGGGGGGAAGGCGGCCCTCTCGCAGAAGATGCGCTCTGGCGATGAGCTGGTGAACATCAACGGCACCCCGCTCTACGGCTCTCGGCAGGAAGCCCTCATCCTGATCAAGGGCTCCTACCGCACGCTCAAGATGATCATCCGGAGGTGAGAACAAAACACACCCACACACACCCACATCAGGAGGATACTGGCCTCTCCTGCCAGGAAAGAGCTCTTCCTGTGTGGCGCATGGCTTTCCTCTGGGGCGGGGGGGGGGCGCTGTTCTCGCCACAGCAAAAGAGGCGGTTGGGCTGCAATCCAGTCTTCAAGGCCCTGCTGCTTCCACAGATTTCCATCTGTGTGTGTGTCTGTGTGTGCAAGAGACCTGGGTATGTGCCTGTAGCGCCATGAGTTTGGCTGCAGCTGCCATCCTGTGGCAGGAATTCGGGACTGCACACCGATTTGAAGTTGGCAAAGCCCGTGCGAAGCACTTTTTGCCTTGAGTAGAGATGGCTTTTTTTAAAAGAACTGTTAGATTCCTCCTCTGTTCCTCTCCTGCCTTCCCCCTATCTCTCCCCCCCCCTCCTGGACCCAGTCTTCCTGTCACTGGAGTGGCCCGGTCACTGTGGGTACAGGGCTTGTCTTGGAAGGATGAAGAGCCGAGATCCCCTTCTGGGGTTTCAGTGGGTCCTGATCAGATGCCCTTTAGGCTACTCCAGGCTGAAAGCCAGGTGGCTTGTATGCAGCCCCCTTTTTTTTTTGTGGGAGTGGGGCTGGCCCGGGGAAAGTGGGCCCCGGGAGGGGCGGGAGGCTGCAGTAGATTGAGCCCCTGCCTGCCCCACAACCTCTCCCTGTAGTTCTGGATCGGTTTGGGATTCCCGAGTCAGGAAGGTTGAAAAGGTTTTGTTTTTCTTATTTTGGGGGGGAGAGCCAGAAAACCTGCGTGACCTGTCAAAAAGCGCACCCGACGAAAGCGCGTATTTGACGTCATCACAGCGCGATGAAAAAAATTAAAAATTGAAATAAAAATAAAATTAAACCAAGCCGATTCACATAAAGGTAAGGGTTAGGGTTAGGGTTAGGTTAAGGTTAGGGTTAGGTTTAGAGTGTTAGGGTTACGTTTAGCGTTAGGTTAAGGGTTAGCGTTCGGTTTAGCGTTAGGTTAACGGTTAGGTTTAGGGTTAGGTTAAGGGTTAGGTTTAGGGTTAGGTTAAGGGTTAGGTTTAGGGTTAGGTTTAGGGTTAGGTTTAGGGTTAGGTTTGGGGGGGTTAGGGTAAGGTTTTCGCTTTATTTTTACATTTATCGATCACAGCGCGATGTTTTCGTCACGCTGTGATGACGTCACGTACGCGCTTTCGCCGAGCGCGATTTTTGTCTACCGCGGTTTTGTGGTGGAACCGAAAACCTGATGGTTGTGGGCCTGAGCATCGTGGAGGGCCCTTCTCCCCCACCCCAGAATAACTGGTCTGCCTTGCAGTGGAGCATGGGTGGGGGAGTCTCTATTGGCACCCCTCCAGGCTGCTATTTGTAAAATTCACTGGAAGAGCTCCTTGTCCCTTTGCAGTGGGGCTGAAGGGGGTTGTGCCTATGGGCCCACAGCGTCTCCTGCTTCATCTTTGCCCTTAAAATGAGCTGGCAATGATCTCATCCTTCCTGTACTTTGTCCCAGCCACTTCCTGTGGGTGTGGGGGGGGAGGGGGGGCAGTCCTGAAGCTCAGCTGGGAGCTTTCGGCAAGAGGCTTTCTGGAATTCCCCCTCTCCTCCTGCCAGGCAAGGTGCCAGGACAGGCAAGGCGCTTGCCCTCCCCACCCGGGAGACCCACCCACCCACTTCTCTCGTAGGAGGCAGGTGGCCCAGGGGATCGGAGACCCGAGGAAGAGAGGCTTCCTTCCCCCCCCCCCCCCCGCAATCCCTGCCTTGAGGGGAGGGAAGGGGCCGCTCCAAGAGACAGGAAGCCCCTTCCCTGGGGGGTCTCGGCTCCTGATATTGTTGCTGCCAGCAAAATTATCTGCTTGGACATCACTTCCTCACCGCTTCCTGGCTTGGGAGGAGGTGAGGATGGGAACTGGCTCCAGGAGCCTGGAGGAGGGAGGAAGCCCTCCCTGCTGGGCCGGCTACTTCCAGTCCCCCTCAGCTGCCTGCCATGGACGGTTGGGCTGGGCTGAGCTGGATCCTGGGCACAGCTGCCTTGCCAAGCAGACCTCCGAAAGAGTTGCCCAGGACAGGTGTGTTATTGAACTTTCAGAGGGGGAGAGGGGAGGATGTGGGGCTCTGCTTTCCATGTCTGATTGTACATGGTTTTGGGGGTTTTTTTTGGTGTGGGGGGGAGCGATGGCAATGAAAAGCCTGGGTCCCGTTCCCCCCCCCCCCCCAGGGCGTGAGAGTCAGCTTCTGGGTCGACAGCAGACGGGGGCACACGGCTCCTGCTGATGCCCCTCTATGGGGTCTCCTTTGGTAGCTGCTGGATTGATGACACGATTAGTGTGTCCAGGCCAGGCGGGGGGAGGCCTCCCCCTGCCCTCCTCCGCCACTCTGTCCTGCCCCAGGGGGTTCTTCCCACAGGCCGGCCCTGCTTTGCCAGGCTCGGTGGTACCAACCCACAACGGGCCCCTAGGTTCCCCCCCTGAGCGTCCCCAAGTGGCTTCCGTTAATGGCCTTCGGCTGGGCTGGCAGGAACTGGTGGGGGAGGTGGAAGCGGGTGGCGGCCAGACGCTTTGGTGGTATGGGGCACCGTCTCCGCCTTGCCTCCTCCGCTGCACAGCGCAGCTAGTCCTTCAGGAAGGGGGGGCAGCCCTACAGCTGGGTGGGGCTGGGAATGAAAAGGCTCGGGGTTTGTTGAGCCCAGGAGAGGCTTGGGAAGAGGGGAAGGGCCCGCTTGGTCACAGGGCAGAGGGGCAGCGGGCTTCACCCAGCACGTGTCGTGCCCCACTGGGCTCACCCTGCCCCTCACGCTTTCCTTTTGCTTTGCCTCAAAAGGAGGAACGTGCCCATCATCAGGCCCCACTCATGGCATCTGGCCAAGCTCTCCGAAGTCCGGACCGACGGCACCGCCATGACCTTTCCTGCTGACCCCCTGAGTCTCTCCTGGCACTTGGGCTGCGAGACGAGGTGAGCGCCAGAGGAAAGAAGGGCGAGGGGGCTGGGGGGGCAGGGTTACTTGGGCCCCTGCGGGACCTCTCCATCAGAGGGCAAGGAGCCCTTCTCGGGGGCACAGCTGGCTTTTCCCTGGGCATCCCCTTGGGCTGAGAGAGCGCAGCCGGATCTATTGGGGCTGCAGGCAGGCGGCGACCAGCCTCCGTTGGCCCACCTGGCTTTCGTGCCCCGGCTGGAAAGAGAGGGAGGGTCCCGGCTGAGACCACCCAGCTCCAAAGGCCTCTCAGCTTGTGGGGCAGCCTTAGCAGCTCTTCTCTGGCCAGCTGGCTCCTTCCCAGAGCTCTGGCTGCAGTGGGCACCATTGTGCCTGTCCTGAGCATTCCTGAGCACAGGAGTCGACCGGGCACCATTTCCCCGGGAGACCTTGGACTGCCTTTTGTCCCCTCAGGAAGGGGCTGGCCCAGCACCACGCAGGCTGCCAGTAAGGCGTGGCTGTTTCCTTGCAGACATTTCATTACCCAAACTAGGTAACATCCCCAAGCAGCCTCCCTACGACCCAGCGCTAGAAATACTCCAGAGGAGCGCTGGCTTCAGCTCCTTGCCAAGCGGGCAGGAGGAGATGCCAAATCTCTCTGAAACGCGGGATGGCAGGCAGGGCCTTTAGCTCGAGGAGCCTGGGCAGGACTTATCCTTTGGAGGAGCCGCTCCTACTCGGCATCTCCCAGATTGAGATGGATTCAGGGGTGAAATCCAGCAGGTTCTGACAGGTTCTGGAGAACCGGTAGCGGAAATTATGAGTAGTTCGGAGAACCGGTAGCGGAAATTATGAGTAATTCACAGAACCGGTAGCAGAAATTTTGAGTAGTTCAGAGAACTGGTAGCAGAAATTTTGAGTAGTTTGGAGAGCCAGTAGCGGAAATTTTGAGTAGTTCGGAGAACCGGTAGTGGAAATTATGAGTAGTTCGGAGAACCAGTAATGGAAATTATGAGTAGTTCAGAGAACCGGTAGCAGAAATGTTGAGTAGTTCGGAGAACTGGTAGCGGAAATTTTGAGTAGTTCAGAGAACCGGTAGCGGAAATTATGAGTAGTTCAGAGAACTGGTAGTGGAAATTATGAGTAGTTCAGAGAACCGGTAGCAGAAATGTTGAGTAGTTCGGAGAACTGGTAGCGGAAATTTTGAGTAGTTCGGAGAACCAGTAGCGGAAATTTTGAGTAGTTCGGAGAACCAGTAGCGGAAATTTTGAGTAGTTCGGAGAACCGGTAGCAGAAATTTTGAGTA